TACAGCAGCTGATGATATGGCCTATTATATACGTTTTAAATATAGAAAACATATACATAGCAACGTTTTTAGTCTGATTGTGGGAAAATGACTAAAATTTGTTTAGTTTTACTTAAAAAAACAAACAAAAACACTACAATTTTTATATTGTACCATGCCATACACTGATGTTTGCTGAGTAACCATATAATCTTATTGTCACCCCTATTCATTCTCCCATTTTCCCGACTGTTTTGTTATCCCTGGCCCCCTTTTATTGCATTCTATTTGAAATGACATCCCAATCCTGCAAACACTTATATCCTTATATATATGCCTAGACACCTTGAACTCCTTGAAGTTACTATTAGTAGTAGTAGTCCATCGCTGACGATGATGACGATATTGTTGCATTTCTCATATATATATATATCTCCTTGGGACTACTCATATACATAAAGGTTCTAAATGCAAAAGTGTAGAATTGAGGCAGTTAATATGCAAGCTGTTTGGGGCAGCTATCTCATCTTACTACATGTACTATGAGGCAGCTAGCATACTTTTAGGCAGTGTGACTTTTATTATTATTACTCCATAATGAATGGTACTAAACTCCCATGGAAGACATTTAGACTCTAGGGAGTTCAGCAAGGTCATTTATATTTGTGAAGCTTGCATCTTTTTGGCAAATGAATTGTTTTCATCAAATTGAAATAGTAATGTATATATACATATTTTAGAAAGTCAGCAGCTCTCTACTTAGTACTTTATTTTCAACAGAAAGAAAGCAAAATGAAGTAAAGATGACATTATTTGATAACGTGCACATGAACTGTGCTTCCTGTTTAAAAGAATTTGATTCATTGCACCAGAAATATAGATTGTAAGGAATTGTGAAATACATGGGATGCAGCCAGAGCTGTAGAGATTAATAATTTGATGGATGAGTTTACTATATTTTAGTATTCAAGTACTGAAGTTTACATAGTTGAGAAAGTGGTGACTCTGGGTCACATACCTAAAAATGTAGATGGGCACCTAGTAGGTTTTTCAAAAGCAAGTTAAGTGCATAATTCCCATTGCAATGATAGGACTTAGGTACCTAATCTGATAAGGTGCCTAAATATCCACCAAAGACTATACTTCAACTGAAATTAAAATGTCATGTGAAAAGAGGAGGGCAGTGTTGTTGGGGATAATTTTTAAGTTTGTTAAACTCAGATCCAATATTTTTAAAGTGCTATTACAAAGAAGAAGAAAAAGCAATGTAGAATATTATTCAACTACAGAGCCTGAAATTGCGTCTTGACTTTTCTTCTGAAGCCAATGAGTTCTTTGCTTGAGTTAGAACTGCAGCATGGAGCGCATAAAATAGGACACTCTATACTAAAGAAAGAATCTATTCAGATAGCATGCTGGTGGACATATGATATATGATGCAACAAGTTGGGGGGTAGGGAAGGTTGAAAAGGTAAAAGTAGTGGGATGACTTAGAAATAATATGTCAATTTGGGGATCAAAATGCGTATTCCACTATGAGAAGTCCTATAGCATTTAATAGAGAACAATAATATTGTATGGTTTTGAACCATCAGATAGTTACATAAGATTGTTCAAAAACCATAGAAAAGCTACCATCCTATATTAAATATACATTTTTTTACATACTTTCTTTTGAATCCTAATACATTTTTCTATATCCCTACTGGTTTCATCGCTAGTAAGTTCTACAGGACTTTTCCATAGGGATTGTTACTAAAAGATCCTGAGAAACTAAAATGAGTGGGAGGGACTCAGAAAGGAAATGGGGAATATTCAGAGGGAAATTGCAGGAAGCCCAACATGTAGGTTTACTATTGAAAACAAATACAGCCGAAGTGTGCATGTGTGGGGTGTGAGGTGGGGTGGGGGGGATAGGTGGGTGGTTGGGGAGAAACAAATATAGGGGAATACAGGGAGCAATAAAAGAGAAAAGCAAACAAGACATAAATCAATAGAATCATGGCTATGAGAGGGTATACACGAGTCTAGAAAAGAAGCAGCTAAGACAGTGATCACAGAAGCCAAAATTGAAAATGTAAAGATCATTGCAGAAGGTATGGGGACAAACAATAACAGATTTTACAGCTATATCAGGACCGGGAGGTCAATGAAAGAGACTGAAGTCTCCTTATCTGACTGTGAGAGGAACTTAGTGACATATGAGGCAGAGATTGCTGGGAAGCAAAATGCTCTCTTTTCTTCAGTGTATTTACCAGGGGGAATGAAGGGAAAATGCCAGAAAGAGATAGGAATGTCCTGGAGGCAGAATATGAACAATTAATGAAACTAAGGGTAATACAAGAATAGGTAAAGCAAAGAAAGAGAAGAAATTAGGGCAGCTAAACAGAAGAAAGTTCCAGGTCTGATGGCCTGTCTCCCAGGATTCTGAAAGAGAGAAATTATTTTTTTTAATGCCCACTGAACTTAAGACATACCTGAAAACTATAGAGGAGTCAATGAAAGACCATATTTTTAAAGGGTTCATACGAAGAATCAAGGCAATTTCAGACCTTTAGGGCTTAATATCCAAACACAGCCAAGAACAGATTCTAGATGTTGATCAAGGAGCAAATAGTTTGGATTGCTGTAAACTGGTTGAAGTTGACCAAAAGGTGGTCATGGTTAACACACATGGTTAATTTTCTTGGGAGACTGAATGTATTGTCAATCCTAGAGGGTTTCGGTACTCTGGTCCCAATCCATCAAACTACTTAATACACACTTAACTTGAATCCTGTGAGAAGTCCCATTAAGTTTAATTAATTGCTTATGAGCTCGCCTTGATTGGGGCTAGAGTAGCCAGCACCTTTCAGGGTCGAGCACACTGAGCACACACAAAGAGAGAAAAGACATACAGCTAGATTTACAAAGCTATGTACATGTCTAAACATGCAGATAGGAACCTAGTGGTATTTACAAAAAGCACCTAATCAAGTAAGGTACCTAACTCCCACTGATTTCAATTGCAGGTTAGTGGGACTGGGCCTAGAAGAAATGTTATGGGTTCTTAGGTGCCTTATAAAATGTAGTGTAGAAAAATATAGACAAGGTTGAAAACAGTAAATAGGATTATGATTGGCAATTAGGTTGCCCTACCTTTACCCGTAATTGATTTCTAATGTGTCAATCACAATGGCCTTTAGTTGCCAAATCCAAAAATTAAAAGGAATGTTGGTGTAGTCTGACTAGGACCATATTCTCTGCTCCTTCCCAGAGTGACTTCTAGGAGAACTAGGTTTGGGTGAGATGGCTTTGCAAGTATTTAGCAGCCTTTTTTATTGTGGACAGTGCAGAAAAAAGAGGTGAGCTCTGCATTGCATTCTAAATGTGACAAAACTCAAGCTCACTTTATCTCCAGTGGCTGAGATTTTCACAAATGAGGACCTGATTCGGCCCTTCACCCCGAGTGTTGTACCTGAGACCTGCCTGTTGATTATAATATTCTAAGAGGGTTATGAAAAGAGTGAGAGAGAGAGAAGCAGTCCTGGAGATAGTCAGGGTGTAGCCCACTGACAGCTTTAAAAATAAGAATCAGAATCTTGAAGAATATGGTATTAATGGTACTCGCACTGAAGAAAGATATAGTACTAACAGTATGAATGATATGGAGGATAAGAATGGCAGAAACTTAAAATCATCAGGGAAGCAAATGACAAACTGTAAAAACGGAATATAGTTCAAATCAGAGGCGACCATTATGGCACCATACAGACCACATCTGGAGTATTGACCATCGGGAGGGGCCCCATGTTTTAAAAGGCTATTGATAGAACTACAAAAGGTGTCAGGTGGCTAGGAAAATGATAGAGTGTCTCAGTGGTTTGTAACTGTGAGGAAATGTAGGAAAATTGATTGTGAAAGAGGAGATTAAGCGCAGATATTCTGATCTGTATAAAGGGCTATAGAGAAGAGTTTGAATGTCACAAAACTATTCATGACAGGAAACGGGCTCAAAAACAATGTGGCTTGAGCTGCAGTTAAATTCAGACAATAAGGAAGTTCAAGGGAAACTTCTTTACACAGAGGATAATTCAATGTGTGCAACAGAGCTCTCTCAGAGGAAGAAATAGTGGCTGTGCAATGGAGATCATATTAGACAAGAAATTATGGGGAAAACATTAAGTTGGACAGATAGGTGGACAACTCTACAGAAAAGTAGCATGATCCTCTTCTGTCCTATAATGTTGTTATGCCTGTAGCTAAGATGATCAAAGAACAAATGATACCTAACTTCAGATAAGTCTTACTTTCAGCACTGGTGTTTTCAGAAAATATCATATGATTTTTGATACATTTTAACTTGAATGTTTGAGACCTTCTAAAATTAGTTCTGCCAATTTTTATGTTTGTTTTGCTTTTTATGCGCCTTCATGGCACATAATGGAGAGGTAAAGTGAATAATTGAAGAGCAATTTATTATTATTATTATTATTATCTATATGTAAGGGTCCAGTCCTACTCTTAGTTTCAAATGTTGCAGGAGCAGATCCCAATTGTAACTGATCAAAATCTCACTGAATAGTTTAAAGATATGAAGGACTGCTTTCCCACTCCTTACAGTACTGATCAATAATTGCTAGGAAAAAATATTTGCTATAAATTAAAAAAAAATGCATACACCATGGAACAAAGTTCAACATACAGCAGAGACAACACAGTTCGGGGGGGGAAGGGGAAAGGGGGAAAAATTCTTGTTAGCTTTATAATTGCAGTGATGACCCCTGGGTGTAGCATTTCCAGACAGTTAATGACTGACTAGACGCCGTGAGGGTTTGGAAGGGCCTTCCCCTTTGGTCATTATTGCCTAAGCAAAGTGTTTTGGGTTTTTTTTTTTTAAAAATGTACATTTTAAGGAAAGCAATTAATGTAGTAAATAATTATAAAACCTGATTAAATGACATAATGCTTTGTACAATCTGACCTGCAGAGGAGAACTGCCAGACAGTGTAATAACACAAGTATTTTCTTTTTCATAATAGTGTTTATGGCTGTCCTTTGGCAAAAAAAAGAAAAACACAAGATAAGCAACCCCAAGAACCTGCTCCCAAAAGAAAACCCTTTGTGGTTAAAACAGACAACTCTTCAGTAGATGAGTGTTACGAAACTGATGGAACAGAGGAGATGGATGAAAAGGAGGAAGAAGAAGAGGAAGAAGAAGAGGAGGAGGAGTATTCTGATGACAATGAAGGTGATGAGGAGGAGGAGGATGAAGAAATAGATCGAGAAGAGGAAGAGGAGATTGAAGAGGAAGAAGAGGAGGATGAAGAGGAAGCAGAAGATGTGGAGGAGGAGGAGGAGGAAGAAGAGGAGGAAGAGGAGGAGGAGGAAGAACGTGGTAATAATAAGAGTATTAGTAAAAAGTAAACATTGTGTGTATTATGTGTTAATCTTTCAGTGTGGTGTCCAGGTATTTAGCTGTGCAGCTCTCATTAAAGCTAATGGAAGTCATGCAGCTAAATCTCCCTGTGCCTTGCTGAAAATGTACCCCACAGTGTTCTTTTAACAGCTATTTTAACGACTGTCTTTCAAATATTTTTGATGCCTAGTGGTGTCAAATTTTCAAATACAGAAGTGTGTGTGCGAAAAAATGCCTGCAGAAATGTGTAACTGGATTAATGCATGCAATTGCCAGGTATGCATGCAAAAATTGGGTAAAGGTACAAGCAAATGGTTAACTGCAAATTCCCTTTCTCATCATTTGCATGTGCATTTACTGAATCTGCCCACCTAATAGTGATGATTGCTCAGATAAATGCGGTCATGGGTCATGTGTTTGCAGGTGGTTTTTTTGGTGAGCACAAGTGGGTCTCTTCCCTTTGAAAATTTGGTCCTGAACTTTCTTTCAGACAAACAATATCAGAATGAAATGTTATCAGATACTTTGGTTCTTTGAGACTTGGATGTTGTGTACTTTAGTTGATTTTATTAAAACTATGGAGAGTGACAGGTTTACACAAAGAAAGTCCTTCTAAAATTATATTTTCTGAATACAGTGCCATACATTTGATGCCTTTTAACTATATAGGTATTAATTAGTAGCCCAGCTAACCTAGTAGCACTGTGATTAATCCATTGACATCTCTGTTTACTGGGATTGTGGACTCTGTATAAGCATATTTTTCAAAATATATGATCACTGTCTGCTTATCTCAGAATCCCTCCATTAATTACATTATAATGTACTGGGGTGAAAATGAAGAATCGTTCAAAGATTAATGAGCTATCGAAAAAGTATTTTGTTCCCATTTCCAGGGAACATGTTTTTGGTTGGGTAGATTCACCTTTCTAACCAATAAAAATATAAGAAAAACTTTCAGCACTCCTCAGTCAGATTCCTCTTAGGAGCAAGGTATGAAAGTTGTCTGACTTTTGTTTCAGCATTCTGTTAGGTCAGGTTTAGAAAAAGATTTAGGAAGTACTCCTTTCATTCAGACAACTGTGTGGCTTACAGATGGCTATGAGCATTTTTTTGCAGATGCCTCAACCGACAGCATTTCCTCATTCACTTTTAATTTGCCTACCAAAACTATTAAAAACAAGGTAGCCAAGCTTGAAAGTTCCGAAGGAGTTTGATGCCAGGGGAGGCTGTTTCCTTATGCAAAGAGACTCTGTTGTTTCAGAACCTGTAAGGATAGTCTATCTGAGCTCAGGCAGGTGTGTGACTGCAACTGCTATCCTGTTGGATTGCTTTGGAACTCTAGCAGTTCTTTCTTAAGCGGTAATGGCAACTGGATCATAGTGGAGCTGGTGCAACGGTTTTGGGCCCAGTTGGACAATAATAAATCTACACTATCAAAAATGATTTAAGGGGAAAAAAGACTTATGAGCTAAAGAAACTTCCTTCTGCCAAGCTTCGTATTAGGTTTACCGGTACAGATATTAAAGAACATGGTGCTTTACTTATGTCCAGCACTGCTGCACGTACAGTTTGTGATCCTAATCAACAACTTTAGCGGCTGCTATTGTTTCTTAGCTGTTTTCTTTCTGTGAGTAGACTCGAATTAAGAACTGCAAGTTAGGAATTTTGCAGAAGTACCTATATTAGCTAGACATCATATTAGAGAAGATGAAAAGTCAAACAGGTCAGTTACCCAGAGGATCTCATGTTACTTGAGGGATAATATGTAGTTTCCTAGATAAAAGAAAAAGTATTTCTTTGTAAAATACTGGGAATGCAAAAAAGAAAGTCAAATAAAATAGGGGGCTTAACAGTGGAATTATTCAGGGCAAATTAATGCAGGGCAAATTAATTTTATGACCTTTTTGGAATCAGCATATTATTATACAGGTGATGCTAGTTACAGCACAGTTGATTCATGAGATAGAGTTACTAGTGCCTAATGATGAAGATAATAAGTTCTTTTTCTCTAGGTCAAGGAGTGGGAAGACCTAAATTTGAGATGATAGCCATAGTTTGTTGTTTTGAGAGGTCCAGAAGATATTTAATTAAACAGATTTTTGGGGATAATTTATTTTATATGGTTTTTGACCGAGAACCTAAAATGTCTTCTCCTTCCATTGCTCATAATACAGGAATCTTTCATCATTTACTGGAATTCCCTGCTTATATTTTTAGAACTCCCTTAAGGTGAATCATTTACTGGGAAAATCACAGTATGCGCACAGCCAACATAATTACAATTAGAAACTAAAAGTAGAACATCTAGTGGAGATAAAGGTGTCTCTGCAGTGCTTATAAACATTTTTGTCAGTGGTGCTGTAGTTTTATGAGATTATAGAAATTTTGCATAGTCTCATAACCAAGCCTAGTCTTAATGGACAGGACAATTAAAATCTCAGACAGTTTTGCTAGAAAAATTCTATCAGATGGGAATGTGATCTCTAAGTCAACAAGTATGAGAAACATAAAGCAATGTACTATATAATTTCCTAGGTCCAAATTAAGTTTCCTGTTATATGGGGGTAAATCCATAGACACCCCAAAGAACTAATTCTAATGACTCTGGAGTTACCCCTTTGTAACAGGAAACTGAATTTAGGTTGGAATTTTCAAAGGGGCCTAAGTGATTTAGGAACATAATTCTTATTGAATGACAATCAGGCTTGAGCTCTGAAATCACTTAGGCCCTTTAGAAAATCCTATCCCTAGGGCCGAACCTTTGACATAATAAAGGACTTGGAAGACACAGAAGCATCCTAAAGCAACACTCTTACAAATCTCAAAATACCAATTTAAGAGAACCAAAGACTTTTTGGAGCTAGATCCCAAATCCTTTGCTGATGTCTCAGTATATAATCACTTGTACTAAAATTAGTGCTTAAAATGCCCTTTCAATGGCCACAACATTCATTTTAACCTTCCATTAAAGTAATGAATCTCTTTGAAGAATAGGGATATATCCAATGAAAAGGTAGCACAGGCCTGAAAATCCCTTACGTACAGTACTACCACTATGGAAGGAAAGACAAATCTTTCCAATTTTTTTCACATCCCCAAAAGAGAAGGCAGACACGTGACCCTTGTTAAGATAACCTAACCTGTAAATTCCAATCCACATGGGAAGGCTATCAGTAAGATAGTAAGATAAAGCCCACTTTTAGGGAGTGCCCCTTCACTTTGGTGGTTATTGCTGAAAATCTCTGGAGTCAAATACTTAGGGCACATTTGCTTTGCAAGGCAAACTAAGGTATTTCTCCTTCTGAGAAGTGATCACTTCAGATAGCTGGTTCCCAAAGACTGTTTCACAAAGCTTTTCTATTATAGAAAGAAATCTCCGTTGGAGGAGCTCCAGGAACGGATGTTCCAAGGCACCATTTAGCCTATATCACATGAAGACATTCAAGATGGCTTGTACTCCAGGTATTTCATAATCCCTCAGGGTCAGGAGGAGTCAGGCTGATTCTAGATCTAAGTAAATTTAATACATTGATCAAGTCTAATCCATTTCACATGATCATGCTACAAAAGATTTATTGTAGTTTACTAAAAGGTGAATGGTCAGGATGTATAGATTTGATAAATATCCCTTTTATATCACATTAATTCCCTCAAACTCATAGTAGCATATACAGTATACCAGTACAAGGTACTACATAATGTTTGCCTAACTGCAAGGCACAGTTGCAGCATATTCAAGGAGACTGAATATAAATCTTTGCATTACAGACTATTACTTGGAAATACAGAGAGGAAATGCTTCACCTTTTTCTCACGTCTACAAATTGGACTACTGTTTTTTAATACTCTGGTGAAATTTGGCCTTTTCCCCACTAGCACACACTAGGCTATTGGTACACATACCCGATGTCTTGAAATCCACCTATTAGTTTATAGGTTAACTTTGATAGTGCCCTCCTTTATCTTCCTGATCCCTTCATCAGATTGCTTCTGTGGCTGATTATGCATGTCCCTCTAAGCAGACGCAAACACCAATCTAAAGATGAAAGAATCGGTACTGAGGATATTGTGGTAGAACACAGATTCCCACTGTCCTTGCAACTTAAGAATCTCTAAGTCTCTGAAACAATGAAATAAACAGGTCTGTACCAGAGAGATGGCCTGTCCAATCTGCCTAGCATCAATCACATTCATTTATTCAAACTATTAGCAAGAAAGCAGTCACACATTTGGTGAACACAGTAAAGTATTCCATATTAATCGGAGCAAAAAAAGCTAGGCACCTGTTTTGGTGTACCATATATGCAAAACATCTAACCAAAGAAATGACAGCCTTAAATGAAGAGGCCAGGAAACAGCTGTTCACTACTTAGAACAATAAATGGAAAGAAATGCATTTTCCAGGATCAGAGAGGATTTAATAAACAGAAGGGGAAGCAATCCTTCAGAATATGCTGGTGGACTCTTCTATTCATGTATATTGCTCTATATTTTCATCTCCTTTATAAAAGAAGGTGGAGAATACTGTGATGGGGGTATGTTGCCACCAACAGTATAATGGGGAAAAAACCCTACCAGCAATGACCAGAAGACCTTACTTCAGTCCCTTGATTGATGTTTGTTGATACAGAATGTTAATATTGCCTTTCATCTCTAGTTTTCAGAGATGCAAAGGTATGCAAGTGATCAGGTCATGCTACTGTATAACAATTCTTGATGTCTTTGTTTTTGTACCAGATGTATCATTCCTACCAAACGAGACCTGTGTAAATGTAGAGATTGTTCAATGTTTTCATTTTTAGTAGTTTGTATCATTTGAGTTAATATTACTCTGGTCAGAATTACTCTTTCCCGAGCCAAATTCAACTGGAAATAATAATGTGATTTTTAAAAAAACAAGTAGCTCAGTGCTGGAATGCATAAGCCTTAAAAATAGGGTTTAGAGAAAAGCTAGCTAGTAGATTCCCTCTGGATACCTCTAGTTCTTGTGGAATTGGGCCAGATATATTTATTATGCTTACTCTGCTATTTTTTGTTTAAAAACAAATTTGCTGCTAGATAGGCTTTCACTTGCTCCAATACTATATAGTTAAGGTGGTTACCATTTGGTACGCTTAGACAGTATCATTTGTTAACCGTATTCTTCAAATGTTGTAATTTTTCTTCCAGTGCTCCTGTGAGACTGGACCTGATTCTGAGCTCACTTACATCAGTATAAATCAGGAATAACTCCTTTTAAATCAGTGGAATTACATCCATGTAAAGTGATTTTATGTCTGTCACATCCTCCTTTACGAAATGTTAAATAGACACTGTTCTGTCTGTAAATGCATAACACAGTTGGGTAGCAATTCTTTCAGACCCTGAATAAGCAAGGTGCTTAAACATGTGCCCAACTTTAAGCATGTGAGCAGATCTGTTGGCTTTCCCAATTTTAAGCAAGTGAGTTAATGTGGCTAAGTATCTTGCTGAGTTCGGACTTCACATATTTAGTGTCTCAAAACATCAGATGCAGGCACAAGATCTTCTGGTCCTTCAAAAGTAAACAGTCTAGTTACAGCTTTGTACAATATAAGGGAAGCATTCACCTTTAATGATCCAAATACTGGATCCCTGCTGTAAATATATACACAAAGAACTTCCATTGACAGCAGCAGCAGTTCTGCAAATGGAGTTAGGACAAATTATGCAATATTAATAATTAAATTTGAAGTCTGGATAAGAGACCTGAGAGGAGAGTATTACTGTAAGTGTTCACACCAGAACTACTTGACAGTTGATTTAATTTTGTTTTGTGTTAAAACTGTTTTATCTGTGAATATAGTTGTTTTGGTTGTATTAGCACTTGTTTTGTAACTTGCTGACTGTTGCCCAGAATCTTAATTGAAAACAAGGCATTGGCCTCACTGAGTAATGACTAATTACCTTTGGGCTTCACTGCAATCTGTTACTTTGCAGCTGTGCCAGGGGAGTTGGGGCACAGTCATATAGGACACTCACAGATTGTGGTTCCAGGAGAAGGGGCAATCTGAGGGGTTGTGCATCCAATACTTCTCTTACTTTCCTTTACCTGTGAACAAATGCAGAGTGATTCCTTGACTCCACCTCCTCCCCATGGTGGGTGGCAGAGCAGCATATTAAATTACTCCCTCCTGGAGCGAAGTGGGATTTGGGGAGTAATTCAAGGGGAAAATATTGTAGTATTAGGAGTGTAGTCTTATATCTATTGTGACTCTTTGAAACTCAGTTCCCTACCAGTGATCCTCCCTTTGTCAGACAGCTATGCACCATTGCTTACACAGGGATGTGCCTAAAGGCTCAGTCTAGAACTTAGTGAATAAAATGAAATACCTGCCCTCTGCATGGGTACTCCAAACAAATATGACCTGATGTTGTCCTTGAAAGTCTCACATCTGAAAGATGGCACATAAGGGAAGGTTTTCACATGATGTATAAGAATGAACTTTTAATATCCATTATCCCCGTGAATTCCATTGCTTTCCAGAGCCAGAAGTTCCAAACCGGAGAAAAC